TGTGCCCTCAGGAGCGACATAATCCACATTAGCAACGAGCTCACGCCCAAAGACAACGTCGCCGAGGAAGTTCGTAGCATCACTGAGGTACTCCGCTGTGCTGGGGAATTGGACCAGAGATAGCACCGCGTCCGATGCTTGTGGCTTGAGTTTCTGTGCAGAGAACTGAGGTGCAAGGGGCCGGAGGCGAGTCCATGGGATCGTCTCTTGATTGCCGAAATCAATGTAAAAGACGTCGGAAGTCTGGTTGTCTCTGTCGTTCCTGCGGACCTTGGCACGGTACCACTCATTGTCCTCAGTAAATCGGGCGGAGACAAAATCGCCTGCCTTTGGCGGGCCGGGGAGCTTGTCATTGGCGTTGTTAAGATGGAAGTTTCTGAACGCTGACATCATTTCTGTCAACGCAGAAGTGCCACTGCCGATCTGCTGAACCTTCAGTTTGCCATCCGCATCAACGTTGGTGACGACAATGTCACGGTAGTCAGTCGCACGCAGGACCTCAGGGGCATCGGCTGCTGGCTCTGTGTATTCTGCTTCCTCTTCGACATCCTGGCTGGGATCCCAGTCAAACCAGAGTCCCCTACGAGCATCCTTAGCCCTCTGCTCAGCGGCGAAATACTCCTGGGCGTGGCCGGACTGCTCAGCGGAGTAAGCGTGCACCTTTGCTAGACCTTCCTCGAGCAACACCTTGGCAAAGTCCTCGCGGTTGATATAGAGAGTGCCAATGAAGCCGCCGACTTTGTCAGTGGTCTCGACGTCAATCTCAACATCACGTTGTAGACATCTCCTGTTAGCCAATTCATGTGCTTCGTTGCCGAATGGCTCAGACGCATCATTCGCATTGCGAGCGGAACGGGGAGCGCGGATGCCAGAGAGGACAAAAGTCAACTTTGCGTTCTCACGGGGAAGAAGGATTGCAAAGCGGGAGCCAGACTTCACGAAGTCCACGACACCAGGAACACGCTTCTGCCTTTGGAGAACTGATGCTTGAATCTTGGCCTTTTGCAGCGATTCAGAGTAATCAATGATCTGGCGAGCCTTTGGTGGCTTGTCTGCCCACATGCCCTTCTTCGCCTTCTGGGCCTCGGCTTCGGCTTGCAAATATGTATCATACTCCGGAGATCGATCATCGTCGTCTCTGCGATGGCGAATGACGGAGGCCAGGCCGTTCTGGATAAGGTTCAAAGCGATGTTCTCGTTGCCGAAGATGACAGTGGCAACATCGCGCTCCTCAAAGCCTTCCGAAGCAGGTTTCTTACCGTCAATCTTGACTCTGACATGCTTTCCGATCAATTTTTTCCGCAGGTACTCCTTTGCCTCTGGAACAAATGGAGCCTGTTTGGGGTCAGAGGGCTTGGGCTGCCTCACGCTGCTCAATTGAATGCGCTTCTCCTGGCCAGCCTTGTCCCTGAGGTAAAGAGTATCCGCACTAAACACCCGGCTGACAGTGTACTCCGACTCAGCCTGACGGTTCTTAGGGCCAACATGTCCAACGAAAAGTCCCTTGCGGGCATTTTTGGCAGCAGCCTCTGCTGCTCTGAGGGAGGCCATCTCAGCGCCAAGCAATGTAGAGTGATGGTCAGAGCACCTTGCGAGGCCGGCCTCCAGTATAAATTTGGCGATATTGCCATTTGTGTGCAGCACAGTGCCCACGAGTTGGTTCTGGGGGCTGAGACCGAGTAAGGTGATCTGAACTCTGCGCTGGAGTAACCTGAGTTCGACGAACAACTGAGCCTGGTCACCTAGTGGTTCCCCGGGAACCTCAGTCCCATCTGGGTTCGTCCTTTTCGTCGTAGGAGCACGGACGCCGGCCACGAGAAGGAGCGTTTGAATGTGGTCTGTAGGCGAGGTCAACAGACGGACAATTAATCTGTCACCACTGAGGACTTTTTCAACGATGCCCTCAATAGGCTGCTGATGGAACTTCTCGACCATGGCCTGGGGATCTGGGAGCTCATAGACTGCGTGTATCTTGTCACCGGACTCGGCCCAGACGCCTTTGGATTCCGCTCTCGCGGTTGCCTCCAGCGCACACAGCTTTTCGAGGTAAGCAGCTGTTTCCTCCGAGTGTTCTCGTCGGCCGATGTCCTCGCGGATGCGCACCCAGCCTTCCATGATGCAGAGTTCGGGCAGCGTCTTCGGGCCAGGGCTGTTGGGAAGTATGACGAGGCCATATTCACGGTTGGAGGTAGGGATTGTATAGAGAACCTGGAACTGTACGACTCTTCCGACGAGCAATTGGCGGAGGAACTCGCGCGATTGAAAGGCGAAGGGCTGGAAGGATGAACGTTAGCTTTCTGGAGCTCCTGAGCTTGTAATTGAGGGAGATGTGGGGAAAGCTTCCTCAAAAACGGAGGGTGGGAAGACAGTTCAAGGACATACCTCGTCGCCCTCTCTCCTCATCCTAGTAGCAGTGACATAGACCAGGCTGAGAGTGCGCTCCTGAGATGGATTCTGTAGATGCGACAGCACCACTGTGTCTCCCGACAGGACGCACTTGACTCTTGCCTCGAGAACCATTTTGAGAGCTGTAAATTGATAAGAAAGATATTTAAACCAACGGAGACCAAAGACGGGTCAGGGTTCAGCGAGTAATGATAAGATGTTGCGTATTGATAGCAGTAGGCGATATCAATATTCGTCGTCGTTGTCGTTGTCGTCGTCGTCCAATATCAATACCAGTCGCACGTAGGAAAACGAGTCGCGGCGAGATGAGGCCAGATCGAGAGTTTCCGCAGATGACCCCGCTGAGTGTGATTGATAAGATAAGATGAGATTGATAAGATCGATAAGACAGCTGGGAATATGTGGCCATTCCATGAGAGTTTGCCATCGCAAGCATCATTGGGGGGATGGCGCAGTGGTAAGGCGCTCTCCTGGCCGGTCTGCAGGACTGCACCACCTGTAGGCAGTGGGTTCGAATCCCGCTCCCCCCAAGTAAAATCCTTCCTTATGAGGTCTGCTTAGCAGCCCCTTCCGTAACAACCCACAATGTA